TTAGTGGACGTAGGGAATATATTTTCTGTTTCCGTGAAAACCCTCAGATTATTCCAAACGAAGCGTAATACTCCTCAAAAGCTTTAAAGGACGGTACTTATTTATGATCCGGCCGGGTACCGGATAATGACGTGGGTAATTTCTACCTGGTGATGAGCAAAATTGGTCTTGCTCTTGAGAAAATGCAAAACCAAGATCAACAAGACATTTTTTATGCTAGAAAGACCAAGACCAAGACCGAAAGAACAAGACCGAGACTACAACCAAGATGAAATATGCAAAACCAACATTAAATAATAATATTAAAATAATTAAAGACTAAACGAAACATTATTACATTCGGCGGATTTACGGGTTAAACTATTTGAAGAAACTTTAATATTGTAGCGAGCACGAGCGTGTTTGTGTGCGATCGGGCACACGTGTGCGTGAATGGCTTATCGATTCGCCGACTAGCCGCGGGCGCCTTTCTTCATGTGCGCCGTATTTGTAAATGTGTGTGTCGTACCTGCGTTCTGGGAAAGCAGTTAAACNAAAGAACAAGACCGAGACTACAACCAAGATGAAATATGCAAAACCAACATTAAATAATAATATTAAAATAATTAAAGACTAAACGAAACATTATTACATTCGGCGGATTTACGGGTTAAACTATTTGAAGAAACTTTAATATTGTAGCGAGCACGAGCGTGTTTGTGTGCGATCGGGCACACGTGTGCGTGAATGGCTTATCGATTTGCCGACTAGCCGCGGGCGCATTTCCTTATGTGCGCCGTATTTCTAAACGTGTGTGTCGTACCTGCGTTCTGGGAAACCAGTTAAACAGTTCAAAGAAAAAATAAACTATCCGGATGTTTCCAGAATTTCCCGAAAGTAAACAAAAGAGTATTTAACGGAAGAGACGATCGCCGAGAAAGAAGAAATAAATTGACCGTTGCAGAAGTGAATCGAAAAATAAATTGACAGTGATAGCAGTGAAATAAATAGCACAGTGAATAGTGATATATTAACAGTGGTGTAAATAAATAGGATAATTCATAACACAAGTTTAGTAATAATTTAATAGTTTTTTTAAGTTCTTTAATAATTACTGTAAATAAATAGTTTTTGTTATTATCAGTCTAAGAAGTTCATTTTGTTAAACCCACGAACATTACAATATATTCTTTTCTTAGAACAAAACACTTTTAGTAACAGAAATTGTCAGTTTGCTTTACTAGATTTGAATACTAAATATATCAAAAAAGTAGCTTTAGTACCATTCCAAAGAAAGATCTACAAGAATGTCATCGAAGTTAATCTTCTTTTGTTCCTATGCCAGGACAGCACATGATTGAAATATAGAAATATATTTTTTTCGGTATTTTCCACTTCTTTTAAGTATTTTGAATCCGGGAATCCGCCAGAAACGCCCGGATTTGTGGAAGAACAAAAATTGGCTTTTGTACTATGATACTGCCCCTGCTTACACATCGTTGCTTGTGCGCTAATTTTTGGCCATAAACAACACACCAGATAATAATGCCGCAGACAGCGTATTCCCCAGATCTGCCCCCCTGTGATTTTTTCTTGAAAAACACAAAATTCGCGATACTTGTCATGCGACAAGCGATAAAATAACAGGTCGTATTTGTTAGACATAGAACACTCATACTCACTCTTACGAGATAAGTCTATAAAAGTTAATACTCCGAGTTTAGTTTTCCTTTAGATCAGCGCCGTCCAACTCATCATAGCCCGCGGGCCATATTTTCATCACCAAACATTTCGGGGGCCAAGAAGATTTATAAATGTAGTCAGTTTATGTTAATTAAAAAAATATTTTATTTATACTAAAGATAAAACTCTAAAATATTCGTAATTTATTAATGAGAACATTGTGACCGTAATTGTTTAGCAACAATATCTTTTATGTCTACATCAATATCTGTTC